GGATTATATTCAAATTTTATATATATAAATGTATTCAAAATGGCTGATTTTGAATGCTGTTCCAGAGCAATATCTCTCAATATGGACAAGTACTTGTTTGACGACCAGATACAAATGTCAATCATTTTAATGTTAAAAAATCATATTCCTGACATGGTTATATTCCAGCTATATTACTATAAACAAAACTATACATCTCAAATTTGATAACTAACGGGGACTGTGCCATGCATGGCTTGTTTTCTCTAATTTCACGAGATTTCATCTGCTCTGATTAAGGAGTATTGTTTGAATGGATATATTAAAAATTACATACATGTATTAATGCATATGTACTAATCATAACTGTCAGATATTGTGTGTGTTTATATATCCAGCCAGTGCATGGTAAATATTGTCCTCCTCTTTTTTTTTCACAGGACCTAATGGTCTGACAAAGATGGACTGGTGGACACACTTTGAAAGTGTTTTTTCTGAAATGAATCAAAAGGGAACTAAGTACATGAAGATTGATCCTCATTTTTCACACCACCAAGAGGTTTTTGCTACTCTCAGAAAACAAAAAATGCCTGGGTTTGGGCTGATGTCAATTCAAGATTTGAGTCAGTATAATCTACTCATTCTACACACTGTTACCTTGCAAACCAAGGATATGTTCATGCAAAAATGTCACTCACTTTATTCCAAGGTCTATAGACATAGGAAATTTGGTAGAAACCATATGCCCTGCACTGAGGTGGAGTTCTTTAACAAATGTCTCATTGATTTCATCATTTACCATGGCAACCCATTGAAGCATGAGTCTTGGTATGCCGATATGGGGATGTATGCATTAGTGCCGTGGTTCAATCACAGTTCAAATGACGACATAAAACATCTTGCAGATAGGTTCAGTCAAGTGGATCATCTAAAAGAATTAGAAAAGATCTTGGAAGAACGGTTCTTTAATCTACTCTGTTGCTGGGTTGTAGATGCTGAGTTTGGCCTCAAGCTCATCCATGCGCTGGGTGAACTGATGCTGGCTTTCCCCGATTTCGTAACTGGTTTACTTATATCTAGGATCTGTGAAGATGTCATCCCGTTTGTGTCACCATTGGGAAACCCGCTGCCTCAGTACGAAGAGATTTATAATCTATTTGTTTTTTATCACTGTGCTGCAATAAGAAATTCCAAGAATGATGCGTTTAATGCTCTCCTGGTTTTTCATCTATTGTGTGAATTGAAGTTTAAAGGACATGAGTCTTTGCTGATTGTTGAAGAAGCTTTTAAAGATGAGTTGGTAGATGTTACTTACGGTATCTATCAAGTTTTGTAGCATACAATGCAATCTTTACACAGTGCATATTGAATGTATTTTATGATATCTGTAATATTATGTTTACCAAACAGATTTGTCACTTTGTTACAGTGGGTTTAGTCCCAACAATTCAAAATCTTGTTCCAAATCTGTAGAGCGCGTTTTATTATAAGAATCCCATAAGTTGGTCCAAATCTGTTTAGCGAGTTTAATTCCAAGAATTAAATATTTTGGTCCAAATCTGTATAGCGTGTTTAATTCCAAGAATTAAATATTTTGGTCCAAATCTGTATAGCGAGTTTTATTCCAAGAATACATTTTGTGCATTGGGCTGAATGCCAATTTGTTGTACATGTAGTTACCGTACTTCAGCAATGCAATGTTTGGACTCTGGTGATTAACCTTATTTCCTATGTATTTTGTTGCCTAAATCCTCGCAAAGGATTACCAGAGTAGTGCATGAAAACACTGCATCTCAAAAAATCTGTTATCAATTTCATATGCCTCATACAGACTTCTCAAAAGCAAATTAGAGAAGTGAAGAACCTATCAATTAACACATACAGACTCGGGGCTCCCAATTGTTTTAGTTGAAGTGATAATAAGATTCATAATTATAAAAAAGAAGAAATAACAAACATTTCTATGTACATACAGTTGGTGATTCCACTAGTTCATATTCAAAATTTCAAAAATTTACTAATGACAGGGATAGAATAATGGCTTGACCCTATATCTCACTTGTGTTTAAAAAGACCATTTTATTTGAAACTAACAAGGTGAGGAGACTTTAATTTTTTTTCTCCCTTCACAGGAGATTTCACTGGATTTCTAACTTGTTTGGATCTCCCCATTCGCACTAACAATCCGGGGGTACTGGCTACCCGACCTCATTGCGGTTCCCATCTTACACTGAGCAAAGAGGACTTGCAGGAACAGAGAAAATTTGACCGCAGATTAAAATCACATGAAGACAGGTGTCAACAACATTGGAAGAATGACTCGCGTTACAGGAGGTCTGTCAAAGAAAAGTTAGATGATGCTTTGAAAATGGAAGAAAAAGTTGGTAAGTGCTACATTTTTAACTCCTGTCTAAGATTTGACAACAACTTGACTTACCATTTCAGGGCTGTGCATATACGTGGTAGCTAAACTGCCTGCTAGTAAGATCGGTTTTGATTTGTTATATAGGCATGGTTTAATACAAATTCACATTCCACCATATGCGAATTATTCTGAAGATCACATACTGTTTGTTATAATTATACTGATGTCTTACTGTAAAATTTATTTTAGCTGGAATTCATCTTCGCTGAAATGCATTTGGGTGTTTTGTATGGAATTTATTTTCAGTGATTTTTGACGAGTGGAATGTAAAATATAGGCAAAAAAGTTATATTCACTTGGTTTTATTTTTACTGAATCTTTCCTTCAGCGAAAATTAATTTCAAGCGAAAATAAAGTATTTTACAGTATTTTGTAAGGTCAGCATAATTAACTAAAAACTGTAAATTGAATGAAAAAGATAAACAAAGATCCTTTTTCAAGTTAATAGTTAATTCAGCCAATTGCAAATAGAAACCATATCATTAATAATGATAGTTTGGTATATAATCACCATTTGAATGAAGATTAACGTATGTCTGTCCATGCATGAATCGTTCACGTTCAAACTTCATCTGCAGATAACACATAATGTTACACATGATACGCATGCAAATTGAAAAATGGTGTAAATGTGACACGCTTTCCAAATTAGGAATTCATAACATATACATAAACACTGTCGTTCATAGTCTTTTAGGGATAAATTTACAGAAATTTGGGTCATAACTCCATTCTTCAGATGTTTGGCTCAGAAATTATAGGGCAGAGAAGAAAAGAAAAGAAGAGCATTCTAGTGAAGTTAGAACAGAAGTTGCATCTAAATTACACTGCTTACCCAAGGTAAGAAATGAAGTGTTTTCACCAGAAATTGTACAGTCATAAAATTTGCATATCATTTGCATAATGTGTAACATACTCATTAAAACACTCACAGTTTAAAGATAGACAGTATCCGTATAAACAATGGACTTCACATACTTAGTCATGTGGTGAGCCAGTACCTCACTGAAAAGGTCAACTTAAAATGAAAATGGTTCGTCTTTGTAAAATGTCTATATGCGCTCAAGCAAGGGTCAACATTCTTGAAAACATCGTTGTTGAACAAAACCTCAAACACGTGCTCTATTGGACGCAATATTGGAAAATAACATGAAGTGCAGGGGTTTGGGGGTAATTTTCTGTGCAGCGCCATATTGAAATCTCGGTACGTAACAGGAATGCATCACCGTGGTGGTCATGATAATGACTATGATAGTCAGACTTCCATGACAGTAGAACAAAGCACTTTAGCAGTACTGTTTAAAATATGTGTATCCTCAGTAAAACCACTCGAGTTTGAGTTGTACCTGTATCCACACCATACCATGCCATGCCATTTTGATATGTTGACCACATTTCATGTAATTATATTCAATAGTTGTTTAAATTGATACTGGGTTGGTTATATACTGTAAACAGCTTTGATTTGAAAAGAGACAAATTTTGCACATTTCACTGGTTTTTTTGTGGGATTTTGTTCTCACAAACAAACGCCATTAACCCTCAAATAGTGAAAATTCCTGTCAATGAAATTGGTTTAAAGTAGGAACAGTGGCCAATAGATTACAACAACTTGTTTAGCCACTTAACAAACTGAAAAGTTACAATACCGTAAAATAACTAATTTTCACTGGATTTAAATTCCACTGATTTAGCATTTCAGACATATTCAGTGGGTTTTGAATTCATGGTTTTATCATTTAGATAATGTGTTTTATGTTCAATTTTACATATTCACTGGGTTTTAATTTAGGGCATTTTCCTGTCAGCGAAATAAGCAAAATTAAAACCCGGTGAATAATTAACCCTTTTACAGTATAGTAAAATCTCAAAAATTGCAAGTAGCGAAAATTAAATGGTTTAAAGTAGTTTTTAGATTCATGTTGCAAATAAAAATGTTCTACAGCGACAAACTTATTTGATACAAGTATGCTTTTCTGTTTTTTACCCAGTAATTTATTTTATTTTTAAGCCCAACTTGCCCATAATGACGTCAATTATGACACGCCCCCTTTGCGCCTTAGTCCATGTTTTTTGGCTGTACAAACATTGCAGAGAGGATTGTCTACACAGGATGTTTATTGAATTTTAAAATTGTAGTAGAACACAATTAGATGTCAGTAAGTCGATAATCACTATATGGTGAGGCAATGCACTTTTGAAGGCTGTAACAACGTGACCAAAGATGGTGCAATTAATTTTTCCAAATAAGCCGATGAGACGTTGTCGGACATGAGCCGTAAGATCAACATAGAAATATTTGGACTAATCAAAACCATACAATGTTGTGTGTAGTGAAGATTCTACAAAAGAAAACCTACTGTATTACTGGCCAGATGGGTATTGGTAATAAAAAAATAGTTAAAGCCAGATGGGTGCTGTTCCATTTTTTCTGAATTCCTCGTAGCCATTGCTGTAACCAAATAAAAAATAAATCAGTCTTTTCTGACTTGCAACTGGTTATAGTATAAGCTCAGTCATGTCGCAATGTATACAAAGAAAGAATTTTTACCTGTAATAAATTACGAACATATTTTTTGATGTCTTACAGGTGCGGAAAACTTTCAGGATACATTACAAGAATCCAAAGATTTGTGCCAATTGTCTGAAGATGGAAGGCGAGAGTCTCAAGTTATTGAAATGCGGCAGATGCCAGTCTGTGCACTACTGTGGCAGAAAGTGTCAGAAAAAACACTGGAAATCTGGTCATTGTGACATGTGTATGAAAAGCTGAAAGCTATAATTGTTAAGGTCAAGTTTTCTAATAGTGATTGGTCTCTGAGAGATGTTTTATGAAGTGACATTCCCAGGCTAACACTACCGTATTTGTTCTATTAGTAAAGCATGCACATGTATATCTGTGGTCAAAATAAGCAATAATTTATATCTATGTGAGGTGATATTTGCAATGAAGATTTCTTCCTGCGTGAGTTCCATGTGCACGTGATTCATACTTTTGTTCTGACTGAAAACAGAACACTGTGGACGTGTGCAGAAACGGAAATTAGCAAAATCTAACACACTAATCAAAAAGAAAATAGCCAAGGATGAAATCTACATTTAATAGTTACCAGAAATGTAAATTTTATGATCATCATGTGTCCGACTTGAAATGGGATTTTCATTACATATCAGACCAGTTGTCATAGCGATAAATCATTGTTAATATCTAACATGCAACACATTTCATCAGTCTATCGGAAATCTCCTGAAATGTTTGATTTACATAGTTATTTATATTGAAATTATTATAAAAAAAAAAGTATTTAATAACTAACATATTTTACAGTAGTTGTGTTTTCTTATATTTTTCAACTAAAAATTTTGGATGTTACAACTGTATAATATTTTTCTAAATAATATTATACATCTACCACAGAAAACAGTAGAATTTACCGTTCTGTAAAAGGATAAATCTGCTTAAGGTTATTTACATCACATTTGAATTCTTTCTTTTATTTACATGGAACAGTTGTAGCGTGTGGTGAAAATAGAAGCCGGTCATTTAATGCAAACATTCACACAACCATCTCTCGTTAAATAATTACTAATCAATAATTACTTCAATCAGGAGAAAAATATATGAGATGCACAAAGGTCATGGAGAAGTACATCAACCTCCACTACATGTCAGTCAATACGATCAATATACTGCCTTTGTGCGTAATTTACGATATTCTCATAACCTCGTATTAATATATTAAACTTTGTCAAAGAAAAATTTTTAACAAATAATTGTGGTGTTTTGATTTACCAATTATCTCATTTACTCTACAATGAGCTGCATTAAAGTAAATGTGTTACATTGGTTGGATTTAAAGTATCCCAAACCCTTCAAACTTTTATTTAGTGGGTAGTGGGTGAATGTTAAATGAAGGAATTACATTTTTTACTGCTCTTTATTTTATTAGCCACAGCTCCTGTCAACCTGAAAAATAAGTCCTAAAATTTTCTGGTTTTAATAGGCGCTTAATTAGTAAGAATAAATTACAAAATGTTTTTCCCTTCTGTCCTGCCTCGTACCTCTACTGGCATTCTAGTTGTGTATGCTGCCCTCAATGGTATTTTGCATTCCACTTTGTGTATGCTGCCCTCGATGGTATTTCGCATTCCACTATGTGTATGCTGCCCTCAATTGGTATTTCGCATTCCACTATGTGTATGCTGCCCTCAATGGTATTTTGCATTCTACTTTGTGTATGCTGCCCTCAATGGTATTTCGCATTCCACTTTGTGTATGCTGCCCTCAATGGTATTTCGCATTCCACTTTGTGTATGCTGCCCTCAATTGGTATTTCGCATTCCACTTTGTGTATGCTGCCCTCAATTGGTATTTCGCATTGCACTTTGTGTGTGCTGCCCTCAATTGGTATATCGCATTCCACTTTGTGTATGCTGCCCTCAATGGTATTTTGCATTCCACTTTGTGTATGCTGCCCTTAATGGTATATTGCATTCCACTTTGTGTATGCTGCCCTCAATTGGTATTTCGCATTCCACTTTGTGTGTGCTGCCCTCAATTGGTATATCGCATTTCACTTTGTGTATGCTGCCCTCAATGGTATTTTGCATTCCACTTTGTGTATGCTGCCCTTAATGGTATTTTGCATTCTACTTTGTGTATGCTGCCCTTAATGGTATATTGCATTCCACTTTGTGTGTGCTGCCCTCAATTGGTATATCGCATTCCACTTTGTGTATGCTGCCCTCAATTGGTATTTCGCATTCCACTTTGTGTGTGCTGCCCTCAATTGGTATATCGCATTCCACTTTGTGTATGCTGCCCTCAATGGTATTTTGCATTCCACTTTGTGTATGCTGCCCTCAATTGGTATTTCGCATTCCACTTTGTGTATGCTGCCCTTAATGGTATTTTGCATTCCACTTTGTGTATGCTGCCCTCAATGGTATTTTGCATTCCACTTTGTGTATGCTGCCCATGATGGTATTTTGCATTCCACTTTGTGTATGCTGCCCTCAATGGTATTTTGCATTCACTATGTGTGTGCTGCCCTCAATTGGTATTTCGCATTC